CATATTTTGCATTCGGAGGTGCTTTTATTCTTTTATTTATACTAGTATCTGTGCCGATACCGAGTATTTGGGTGAATACTCTTACTCGCCCAAATGCTCCGATACCTTCCCCGATTCCAGAACTTCCGGTCAGAGGAAGATTTTCTCTGACCGGCAGTGCTGCAGGGGAACATGGAGCCAGCTTAGGCCTGATTGGCCGGGAAGCTGGCTCCATGCTGATTGGCTGGGAAGCTGCTTACCGGCCAATCAGCATGGAGCCGACCGAGCAGCCAATCAGCACGGAGCTGGCTTCCCGGCCAGTCAGGAAGCCGAGAGGCGGGTCATTACTGGCTGCCCGTCTTCCTGATTACCCAGGAAGATGGCTTGGTGCTGACTGGCTGGGAAGCCAGTTTCCCAGCAAATTTTACAATCAAATCATCCCGAATGCAAAGTATCGGCACTCATACTCTATACTGAAAAACCGGTATCGGTGCATCCCTAGTCTGTACCTACTGCCGCCCCAAACTGTCTGTTCTTGGCTGACAGGAGTAGAACACAACATGGTCTTCTGCTTTTGGTAGGCCATCGCCTCAAGGTTGGACCTGTGCATTCTGAGATGTCTTCTTCTCAGATCGAGATACATCAGACCAGGCTTCGTTTTCCAAGTCTTCAGCTGTCAGGTTTGGCAGAGCCTGTGGCCACTGCAGACTGAACTGTCTGTTCTTGGCTGACAGGAGTGGAACCAAAAGTGGTCTTCTGCTTTTGTAACCCATCGCCTCAGGGTTGGACATTATTTGTTCCGCGATGCTTTTCTTCTGACCGGCCGGAGTGGAACTGTTATCAGAGGTGCTGCAGCCTTTTCTTTCAGCTCCGTTCAGTCTGGCCATTCCCTCAGACCTCTTTTCCATCAACATGACATTTCCACCCACAAAATCTTTGCTCGCTGGATGTTTCTTTCTGGACCGTTCTGAGGTAACGCCAGAGACTGTAGTGTGAAAATCCCGGGCGATCAGCAGCAATAGAAAACACCAACAGGCCTTTTTGGCACCAATGACCGTGGCACGGCGAATATCACTGAGGTCGCATTTTTCTCATTCTGGTTTTTGATGCGAATGGTAACCGAAGCTCCAAATCCTGCAATGATTTATATGCAGTGGGCCGCTGCCAAATATTTGGCTGATTTTAGATTATTGCACACATAAGCAGGCACGCAGGTGTTCCTAATAAATTACTTAGTGACTGTATACTCTGATAGACTGACAGCGTACACAGGGACTGCTCCACTAACTGCTCCAGTGCGTGTAACACGCCACATGTAAGGACATGCATAATGTTATGTGCACATGCTGTACACTTCCTGTGAGCAAGCTGTTACAGCCACAGCTATAGTAAAAGGGGTAAGAGCTAGGGATGCACCAATACTGTTTTTTAGGTATCAGGTACGAGTACTCAGTACTCGTCGATACCGGAAGTCCCATTAAGGAAGCCGTGCTGCGTGTAATGACTCGCCGCCCAGCTTCTTGATTAGCTGGGAAGTTGTCTCTATGCTCCCTCATCACCAGGTGACGAGGAAGCATGCTTTCTGAGCAATCTGGAGGCCAGGGGGCGGATAATAACTCACTGCGTGGCTTCCTGATTGGCCAGCTTCTCGAGCAATCAGGAAGCCGGGGAGAGAGTGGCTGGGAAGCCGGCTTCATGCACTCCCGTCACCAGGTGATGAGGAAGCATGGAGCCGGCTTTCTAGCTAATCAGGAAGTCGGGTAATGACTCACCACCCAGCTCCCTGATTGGCCAGCTTCTCGAGCAATCAGGAAGCCGGGGAGAGAGTGGCTGGGAAGCCGGCTTCATGCACTCCCGTCACCAGGTGATGAGGAAGCATGGAGCCGGCTTTCTAGCTAATCAGGAAGTCGGGTAATGACTCACCACCCAGCTCCCTGATTGGCCAGCTTCCCGATCAATCAGGAAACTGGGTGGTGAGTCATTACACGCCGCTCGGCTTCCTGATTGGCTTCCTGATCCTCGTCACCAGGAAGCATGGAGCTGGCTTCCTGGCCAATCAGGAAGCCGGACGGCGTGTAATGACTTGCCACCCCACTTCCTGATACCGGAAGTTCTGGTATCGGGTTAAGTATCGGGAGCATGTGGGCGAGCATGAACACTCGCCCAAATACTCTAGCGGTGCCACTACTAGTACCGGTGCATCCCTAGTAAGAGCTAAACGCATGGGCTCCCCACTAGTGATTACTGTCATTTGGCAGAGCAGGGTTGGCCATCGCAGCTGTGTCTTAAAGATGAACTCTGCTACTTTTGCAGTGCCCACCCCCCTCCCTACCTGGGCACTTTAAGGGTTAAATGCCCATTTAAGTCTGGAATATGGTGGAATACTAACCCTTTTCCTCACACTGGCAGACTGCCTCCGTCATTGCGACCAGTCCCCCCGAAGGATCAGCTTTAAGGTATAAAGGTATATTTGGCTTCTTTTCCCCTTACTGTTAAAGGAGAATTATGAGGCGAGAGATTTTCACTCAGCTCATAATCTGAGCCGACCCGTGACAATGACACTATCACAGGTCGGCTCAGTAGATCGGGAAGTGAGGGACCACATACTGACGCTCGCTCACTTCTCGATCTATCCCTGCAGAGAGCTGTGACTGTCACTCACGGCGCCCTGCAGGGATTCCCCCTCCCCTTACCGATCCTCCAGCTCTGACTGGCGGAACGGATGGGGGAGGGGGTGGATACCGCTGGCTCTGCCTCTAGATAGGCATCACGCAGCTGGGTGGATCTCGACAGTAATGTCGGGATCCGTCCCGGCTGCGGTGGTCTCAGTATAGCGTGAGTTGTAGCTCGCTATATACTGAGCTTAGGGTGACGGGAGGCCGCTAGTTTGTGTCCTCCCATTACTCTTAGGAGAACTATGGGGAAAAGCCCTAACCACATAGTTCTCCTTTAAGGGACAGAGATCACCATGCTGTTGCATTGCCCCAAATATTACTTTATGGTACGTGATTAAAAATTAATACTGATAATAAAAAGTAAATAATAAAATGCTCTTCTCACCAGAATCACTCAGTAAAGAAACGGTTAATAAGTCAAAATTATGAAAAAAAAAAATGACCATTATTCAGGATTTATATAAAGCCGACAGTTTGCGTTTACAAAATTCTTTAAAAGTAAAACAAATCCCTATAGTGGTACATGGTTGGTCCTATCTCTATACATTTGTACGGAGCGGAGCTTGTTGTGTGTGTTTGTAGGAGATAAATTACCGGGTGACAGGTATAGGCCGCGGGATATACATTTCAGGCATACGTTACACGGGTATCCATTTTAGCTTGTTGTACGCGGTACGGGGAGACGGCACGCCAGTTGTCCTAAACAGATTTGGGTTCCACGAAGTTCTAAAATTGTTGGCTAAGCATGGACTAAACATAAGCCGCAAAACGAGCCGCTATTCACCAGCAGCGTGTACCCATCGACAAATATAACTGTGCAAGTCGTCAGATTAAGACCGGTACACTTGACAAAAAAAAGGATTAAAGTGAGTGTCCCCTTTTTGTCAAAAAGTTAAAGTAAGCCCGGCCTGCAAAGAAAAGCATTGATTACCCCCCCACCCCTACACCCCTACCACCACAACCACCACTATCGCCTGCGCTGGGGAACTTTATGGTCCTTTACCATTTGAGGATCTTGAATGTAAGAGATACGCCCTACAAGCTTTGTTTTTAAGGACATATCTATTACGTCCAGCTCCTCTCCGCTTGTTGCCACTTCGAATTGGTATTGCCAGCAATAATCAGAGGGGTATCGTAGTGAAAAGCATTGATACACCCCCCCCATCTTTTACCATTTGAGGATTTTGAATGAGAGAGATACCGTCCTTAAAAACAAAGCGTGTAGGGCGTATCTGTTACGTCCAGCTCCTCTGCGCCTGGTGCCACTTGTAATTGGTATTACCGGCATTAATCAGAGGGGTATCGTAGTGACTTTCCAACTTGTTACCCTAGACAGCAGACTGCACATACCCCCCGGAACTGTGCTTGCCCTCTCCAGCTGCAAATTACTCCTTTCTAATGCCTGTGGGGTAACTTTTAGCTTTCACATCCACACAGTGTAATTATTAGATGCAAAATGAACTTCCCTAACCTTCATAAATCGCACTTTATGGACACCTTCAGGAGATGGTAAGAAGCAGGACATATAGTGCATGGGTATATAGAATAATCACACACGTGTGTGTCTGTATATATGTTACTACAGGGCTCAAAGTTTCCACTCGCCCGCTCGCATTTGGCGAGTGGAAATTCAGTCAGGCCTGCGGTCACAGGGCCACGTACCTGACTTGCGGAAGTAAGCTGCTCCTGGCTGCGCTTGCTCCATTTCTTTTGGCCTGAGCTCTTGACAGTTCAGAGCTCCAACCAAAAGGATGGATTAGTCAGGTCTGCACCAGACCTTACTAATCACCAGGGATCGTGCCTCCTCCCTGCAAAAAGGCAAGCAGGTGAGGGGCCTCTTTGTTCTATTTTATG